CAGTACACAGTCATACTGTACAGTAATACTTCACAGTAGCAGTACACAGTCATACTATACAGTAATACTTCACAGTAGCAGTACACAGTAGCAGTACACAGTGCTGTTAACCACTCCTTGTTTTCCAGACTGGAAGAGATTCCCCAGAGAGCTCCGAGTCCACGTCAGGAAACCTGCCAGAGACAGTCAGTACGCTCTGATTACACTCTGTACTCTGATTACACTCTGTGCTCTGATTACACTCTGTACTCTGATTACACTCTGTACTCTGATTACACTCTGTGCTCTGATTACACTCTGTGCTCTGATTACACTCCGTGTAATGATGGTCCGGTGTTTACCGGTGTGCTGTGTGTGTTCAGGTGTATCGGCCGCCGTTCAGTCTCCTCCTCCTCAGATGAAGAAGAAGGGCGTGAAGGATAAAGAGGAGGTGCTGCTCAAACTGGAGGTGAGTCTGGATTTAGTCTCGCTGTCAGTCACGTTCCACGTGTCTGAGTTTGGTTGTTTCTGCTTCGAGCGTTTGATGTTTAAAAAAAAATTGTAACGTTAATTCAGTTTGAAGGTGTTCCTAATAAAGTGTCACAGCGTTGGGTTTTATTGATCCAAGTTTACTTTGGGCTTCCTGCTGGTTCCACCTTAAACTAACGAGTCCACCTTAACTGTGCCAGAGCCTGGAGAAGAAGGAGGAGCAGGAGACGTCAGAGGACGAGGAGGGAGAGACGAAGAAGAAGCAGGAGGAGGAGGAGGCAGAGGGAGAGGAGGAGTACGACGAAGAGGAGTTCGAGGAGGTGAGACCAGATCGATCAGTTTATTCAGACGCTCCTCTAACGAGGGTGTAACCAAACCCAGATAATCTCTAAAGGTCGTTAATCTCATCTCAGTGATGTCACTGGGACGTCCTGTTATAATCACACCTGCTGGATGTCTTCTGCTCTAAACTGGGATTAACTGGTTTAAAATGCAGCCAATCAGAAACCAATCTGGATTGATCTGTTAATATCATGGGATTGATCTCTAATTGATGTTTTCTTGGCACCGCAGGAGACGGATTACATCATGTCATACTTTGATAACGGCGAGGATTTTGGCGGCGACAGCGATGACAACATGGACGAGGCTATTTACTAAAGCACCAGCACACATGACTTCCAGTCACATGTTCCTGCGGTCGAGTCAGACCGACGACGATGATGATGGTGATGATGATGATGATGATGATGAGGAGGAGACTTTTTCTGAATGTTTTTAAACTTTTGTACAAAATGTAATCAGTTTTATTTTCTGCTGCTGGATCAATAAAAACGTCTCACACACGCTCTGTAAGCATTTAGTGAACGTTCCTCCTGGAACCAGCTGATCGTGACAGGAAGCAGCAGCTGGTCTGAGGAGGGCCACCGTTACACTCGTGCCTAAAACAAAAACTAGTAACACACAACAACAACAGCATCTAGTAACATCTCGTACCCTCACAGTCAGAGGACATGCACAGCTGGGGAGGAGCGTCGTATATAGACGGGGGGACGTCGTCATTAGGAAAGGAGAGACTGAGGTCAGATGAATGGCTGCTTTCACCATGAGTCACTCGCTGTGTCCGACTTCAGGGGAAGGATGCTTAAAGTGCTGTATTTGGCGGCAATGACGTCACAGCGACGCGACGAAGGCTGTCCGAATTCAAAGAGTGCTCAAAATGTGGCGACAAATGCGTCCTACTTTTACCCCAATTTGAAGGATGGGTCCGATGTGTCCTTCGTGTCCGATGTATCCTTTGTGTCCTACTATATCCCAGGATTCATTGCGGGTCATACAGCAGATTTGTTCCTGATAACGATGGTCGAAGAGGAAAACACTTTCAAATGTACGTATATGAACATCTGGTTGTACAAAAGTTAAACTGTTTTAGCGCTCGTGTTGTTAAGCTTTGGGCATCTGCAGAGACATGTTCCTTTTATTTAACCCTGGAGAACCCATGGTGTCGGCTCTGACCCCATGGGTTCTCCAGGGTTAAATAACCGTGAACCAGCTTGTATCGCGGGTTTTTCATGTATTGCCGCTCACATATAGCTAATTTAGATTTTTTTGAATTGGTGACATGTTGTGGGGAACAAACGGCTTAATTTATTAAAACGAGGAGAAAACGATCACCTCTTCACTGGGGTGAATAACTGGGCCGCTACGGCGTGGAGGTACAAGAATAAATCAGTTTACACATCATATTCATATGAGTGCGGTCCCATTAACCCTCATGCTGTACAGCAGCGCTCCCCGACCTTTGTTGCGCCACAGACCGGTTCATGTCAGACTTGGAGCCTTTAAGGTGTCGCGGATAAATACAACCACATAAAATGACCAAAAACTGGTATTTTGTAAATATAATAATAAACATGAATGTACTGTGTAATTGTGTAACTTTATTAGCAGCGTCGTCCTGTAACATCCTCCTCTCTGCCGCTTAATGCTCTCTGGTCGCTATGGTAACGTGTAAATATTTCTTTCAAAATAAGACACACAACTACAACAAGGGAAAGACCCAGGGAAACCGCGTTAACAAAACCATAAGTTTCACAGCGGAGCCTCGACTCTCGTGGCCCGGTACCAAACGACTCGCTGCTGTGCAGAACCTGTGATGTCCACACGGCGTTCCTCTGGTGTCTGAAAGTCACCCGCTTGCAGGCCAGAAGACATGAGATAACTTTAAAGAATACAAAGTACGTATGTGTGTTATCAAGAAGATAATTCTTAAGAACACAAGTTAATGAATGGGCAATTACTGAGAGTTGTTGTGTTTTTATTTGCCTGCTGTCATCTTTGATTTCCTGCCTGTAGGATGCAAGTATCCAGGCTCAGGAGAGGGGGTCAGTGGGAAGCCCTCTGCTGTGCTTGGCCCTGGTTTGCCCTCATGGATGAGGTGATAGGACAGATGCCTTCGTTTAGGCCTCCTGTCCTAATGTCCTCTCTCCCTGAGGACACTCCAGGGCCGAGCACAGCAGTGGGTGACCACAACAACAACGATGACGAAGAGGATCAGCCACCTACGACAGGGAGGAAGAGGAGAAGATGATGAGCTGCTCGACCTCATCAGAGAGGACATGAGGCAGCAAAGAGAGGCTGAGGAGAGGAGAGCAGGGAGAGGATGGACCGACTGTTTTCACTGCTAGAAAGATTCGTTCCCAAATGAGTTATGTACTGAGACATTTATTTATTTGAATATATTTGTTACATTGTTATGTGTGTTGCATTAGTTTAAAGGTTTTATGTTATTAATAAATTGATTCAAACAAACAGTAATTGTCACTGAGCTCAGTTTGATTTATGAACATAACTTTGAACAATATTACATGGATATTTATTTGATAGCAATAAATAAATAACAATAACAATTAAACAAGAATATTTCAAATACACAGTATGTAAAGATGTTCACACAGGATCAACCTGAGTGACCTGTTCCTGGACCGTTTCTTTAACAACTGTAATAGATTACAGGAAGTCTCTGGCAGCTGCAACTGAGACCTGCGGTTTGTCTTTTCTGGTCAGCGAGTGGAGAATCACACAGGGTGGTCTGCAGAGAGCTTCAGGATGCTCCCACTGTCCACTGCACCATCCATCCACAGGGTTTGCAGGGCTCACTCGTGGCTGCCACACCACTGAGATGTTTTCACAAATATGCAAGCAGGAGATGGTGGAGGCTATTATTAGTATAATACTTGTAACTCTGTAGCAGACAACAGTTTGATAAAGTGCTGTGTAAAAAAACAAACAAAAGATTAGATTCTATACGTTTCAAAGATATTTAGTTTATATATTTTAAATGATATGTTGCAGCTTTAAGGCAGGGATGACTCCGGGAGTTGCTTTCTCACTGCATATGTTTTATTTCAAAATCAGATCAATGACAAAAACATACAGCAGCTCCTCTTCAACTCCCAGCCCTCGGCTGCAGTGGAAAAAGAACGACTCCCAACCCCTTCAAGGAACATACGTACACAAGAGTTTTTCTGACACACCCATGAGGCGTTCAATGCCGTCTTGTAAATATGAGTACTCTGGCAGAATAACAGTTCAAATGAAAAATATACTAGAACAAACAAGCAAAAGAAGTGTGGGGTACCTTTGAACCAATGAACAAAGTATAACAATTTATACTTTTTAACATAACCCGACCCCGTCAATATCTGTATCTCTCACAATACAGTACATGTGTAAGAATGACCGATGTTGTGCCAAAAAATGATCGTCTGCCAGAAACTGATTGCTCGTATTTAACCTGCTATAAATAACTTGTTGGTCTATAATACGTGAAACACGTCAAATGTTTCCCTCATTAATGATATCAGGTCACTTTGAGCCACCAGCAACATTCCTGTAACAAGGAATGAGTTTTTGGCAGTGACTTTTGTATATCCTTTATTTATCCAGTTCACAAACAATCTTGTTGACATTAGAAATTTATTTTTTCAGAGTAAACTGGCCAAGAGGACAGCAGACAGCAAAACAAATATATCAGCTGTACCTACATTATAACCAGAGTTATAAAGACACTTGAACAACAGGTAATTATTGTATATATAAAACACCTTTGTAATCCATGTTCACCGAAGTCTATTTACCAACATACATAAAGATTTTACACATATTACACACGGAAACATTGGAAATCAGTTTTGGCAGGCGAACACTTTTTTGGGACAACGCCGGCATTAATTCAATTATCGTGTAATTAGCTGAATAATTCCTAAATGCGTGTAGATTAAAGGAAATTATTTTACCTGGACATGATTGTCTCTGATGAACCTGAGGTACAAAACATGCGGGCGACGACGATAAGGTTTTTCTAGCTCCTCGAGAATTAAAATTGTCCAAACAACGGAGCGACATTTCTGGGTCCATTTTAAAGTTTTCGCGCTGTGGCGCTAGCGACCGGAAAAACACGTAAGTAAGGGCGAGTTGAAGGCTGGGAGGCTGTCCACAGCCCATCTGTTATGTTGGATACTCATTGTTTGTTCAATAAAGTTTCTATGGAGAAAAAAAGGGGGCTGTCCACAGCCGCTCACTTCCTGACTACTGTCCGTCTAAGGACACTACCTTGTGACGTAGGTAGTTAACACAGCTGGGACACATCAGACCTAACGAGACGGGGGAAGCAAAACTAGATACACTGCACACAGGACAGGAACTATCAAAATAAAACAGGAAACACACAGACTCAGGACACACAGCTTACACAGTGAGTGGGGAGACATGGGAAATCACAGAGTATTCACTGCTGAGGTAAATACTAAGGGAGGAACAGTCACTAAAGAACATAGTTACAAAGTTTGAAACACAAAAACTCGTGACAGCATCCATCAATAGATAAATATGACATAAATAAAATCATGACTTTATTATAAAAACAGAAGGACGTTTCTGTTTCTGGGTTCATTTTGAAGCACTGTGTTATTAATTCATTTATTTCACACGCCCTGATGTTTGACAGCGTTTTAGTGGGTAAGAGCTTAGACATGAACTGAGCTGCGGTTTGGGGGAGGCAGAACCCGTGTACTACACAGAAGTGAAGTCGGAGAATTGAAAAGGGAGGGTGGGGCTCGTAGACGAGAATGAACAGCTTGCAGAAACATAGAGATGAGAGTCAGAAGGAGCGTGTTTGGAGGCGTGGTCACTTTCAGGAAGTGACCTTAATTGGTCGAGAGTGCCTAATGCTAGTTAGACTGACTATCAGTCTGCATCCACACATACTGCTAATTAGTAAAATCCAAGCTCCGCCTCCACAGATGCTCTGTTAGTACAGAGTTCATGATGGAAATATGTGATATGCAAATATTTTTGTACATGTTAATATTTCATACATGTTACTGTGTTCTGTTTGCAGCGAGAGCAGCGACAAACTGGAGCTCAGTTCCTTCTGTAGGTACATCACGAGGTCACGAGGTCGTCTGACTGCTCACTCTCTCCCACCTGCTCCTGTGTTTCTGTGGCCACGCCCTCTGACCTCTCCTTCCTCCTTCTCCTCCTCCTCAGCAGCAGCAGCAGGACGGCAGCGAGCAGCAGGAAGACCAGAGGCGAGATGAAATGAACTCTGTGAGAGTACGATGACTCCGCCCTCCAGTTTACCCTCAGCCGGTTGTCCAGGCTCAGGTGAGACGCCTCACAGGTGTAGTTGTGTTTCCTCTTCAGCTCCTTTTCGCCGACCATCAGTGTCTTCCTCACTTGGTAGAGGCCGTTCCCATTGGGCAGCACCGAGCCGATGCGCAGCTCGCCTTCGTCCACGGGCTGGCCGTCCCGCAGCAGGCTCAGGTTAATGTGGCGAGGGTAG